CTTTCTTTGAGTTAAAAAAATGAAATTTTCTTAAGTAGTCTTAGTTGCCACAAATGAAAATACTTTAAAAGTGTTTACTGGTGAGCTTATAAAGTGCTTGATTAAAAGAAAATGTTAGCAAGTGAAGACACCTTTTCTTAAAAAATTAGGATGGCTCCTATCACTGGTCTGTTATATCAAAGAGGAGAGTTAGCTAAAGCAGCTTGCCTTTCCTGATCATGTGTTTTAAATATCTTGGACTACAGCCCCCATCATGTCCAACTGGTCAACATGATGGGAGCTCATCCAACACATTTGGGATATTCTCTCAATCCATTTAGAGAGAGTCCATATGGGGCAAATAAGTTTAAACCGTTTTTGCACAGACCTACGTAAACCACATTCTGGGTTCGTACATTTTACTAAGCCACAGTTTGTACAACTGTATATTTTGGGAATAAATTATAATTAGTTGTGTTCACACAACACACTAAGCCTAAGTTATAGTTTATGAGCCACATTGCTTAAGTACAAACAATGCATTAACCAAACAAGCCACGTTGTTGTTTTTTTTAATCCGTTCAATCATGTCCGATTCTCGGAGACTGCCTGGACAAGTCCCTGCAGTTTTCTTGACAAGGTTTTTCAGAAGTGGTTTGCCATTGCCTCCTTCTGAGAGCTGAGAGAAAGTGACTGGCCCAAGGTCACTCAGCTGGCTTTGTGCCTAGGCGGGACTAGAACTCAGTCTTCTGGTTTCTAGCCTGGTGCCTTCACCACTACACCAAACTGGCTCTTGCACTGTGATGTACTACCGTGTAAATCTAGTTAGTGCATGCCCTAGTTCTTCAGTTAATGGCTGTTTCTAAATAGATTATACTTTTCTTTTTGGAGAAAGGAGAGAAGTGTTTCAGTTTAAGGCAGTGTATCTCAACCTTGGCAACTTGAAGATGTGTGGACTTTGACTCCCAGAGAAACACTGGTTTAAGGTTGAAGTTACTTCATAGAATCGGTGCAGAAGAGACGAGTAAGAGGCTAGATGTTGCTTTCTCCAGATACTTGGAAAGCAGTCACATCGATGCTGAAATGGATTGGTTTTGTATGACCTACACCAAAGGATTCAAATTACAGTAAAGGGAATTTCAACTAAGTGTTATGTAACACATCCTCACAATATGTTTATACATTGGTTTGGTATATGACGACAGCGTTAGAGTGTTTCTGTTAGAGATTTATAAACAGCAACTTAATCTAGCAGGTGCTGAAGCATTAGAATTAGGCCTGGATGAGATGACCTCTGGGGGGACCCTTCTCTGCCGTAGAATTTACCTTAGAATCAAATGTTGCGTGCCGGAGTGATTCCATAGTAGACTAGGCCATGTAGAAGGAAATTCCCTGAGGGTAGAAAGTTTTTTAAAAGAACATTGCTATGGAGTGGTGCTTACAAATGGTTTCAATATGTGCATTATTCCATAAGGATAATGATGTTGAAAGTTGCAGGCAATGTTACAAGCACTTTCCTAATGAAAGCCAACATTTTGCAACCTAGGGGTTGTTGGATGGACGTTTAAAACCACGCCCTTCTAAATTCCTGTGCCTTGTGTTGGAAGCCAGCAGCATTAAGTGTCCTGGATCAGGGGTCGTCCCCCTTGTTTTACTTTTATTCATCCCGCGCTTTTTATTTTAAAGGCTTGTTAGCTCGTTTTTGTGTGGGCCCCTCTCTTTTGTGTG